TAATCTTCTCAAGCACTTTAGAAAAAGTAGTTAAAAGTGAAATTGGCCTGTAATTTGTCATACTGGTTTTGTCCCCTTTCTTGTACAGCGGTCATACTACTGATATTTTAAGGCGGTCCGGGAAAATGCCTGTGTATAATGAGTGATTACAAATGTGGGTTAATGGACGACTAATTAAAGCTGAACAAGCTTTCAAAATTTTACTTGTTATTTCATCATAACCTGATTTGAGGGACTGTATTACACATTTCACCTCAGTTTCAGTGGTTAGAATGATAATAAGACCAGAAAATCTTACAGGAAATGCAGGTTTAAAAAATGAAACAGCATCTTCTGTCCCTGTTTGATATAAATTTAAGCATTCAGTAAAAATTATATAATAATATAATAATTATATTCCTTGTCCAGATAAAATGTTTATGTATTAGTGTCCAGTACAATTGTATAACACTTTGGCATACCTCTTAAAATTTAACTTAAAAATGGAATCATATGCAGTTCCTGAAAACACAGTAAACTGGATACACATCTTTTGTTTTCTTCATGGTCCCATACGATTTATAAAATTGTTTTAATAATTGCAATTATTACTGGAACTTATGCAGCAAGCTTTGAAATTACTAGACATATATTTATGTATAATTTAAATGTTTAGTTTACTGAAACCCATAGCCACTCGGTCTGAGGCATCATGCTTCGGACCGGTGATACGGAATGTGCGCTGGTTCGAGTCTCGGGAGAGGAGAAATTTTCTCATGAGCTTTCGACCGGTGCCAACCCAGCATCGTGAGGAAATTGGGGAGCTACAATGAGTAGCGTAATCCAGTCAGGAAAGCTAGCAATGGCTGGGAGTTCATCGTGCTGACCACACGTCACTCTATATCTGGTTGGATGATCGTTCACCTCTGCTTAGGCATGTGAACGTGAGGCCAGCAGCCAGCTAGTCGGTTTTGGCCCTCAGAGGGCTCTTATGCCACGGATTATTATTAGTTTGCTGAAACAGAGTCAGTATATTTTGCTTACTTTGGGGGGAGGGAACAATGCTGAAGGTGTTGATGATCCTGTCAGGTTATATCTCTCGAATCTTGGAGAGAATCAGGGTTCCCATTTCCAGATCCTGTTCCTCCTCCCAGAGAATGGGTTAGTTGGAAACCCTGCAGAGAGCTACAGGGCTCTGCCTCCCTCCGTATAGCATCCATCACGGGGTCTAAGACCTTACTCCCCTCTTCACTGTAGCTCCTTGCAAAGTTAGTCACTGGGCCACACTGACCACACACAAAGTTGTCTGGTCGGAAGATCTGTCCGAATAGGCCAGAGCGGACAGAATCCATCGTGCCACACTCCAGGTCCACCAATACGGCATGTGGAACATACCTTCAACCTATAATGACAGGTGGAAGGTATGTTCGTCGTGCCATCTTGGTGGACCTGGAGCGTGGGACGATGGATTCTGTCCGCT